GAAGGTGAATTTAAGCGTATTTATTTTTAGATGAACACCCAGATTCGATTTACCGAAGAGTCTTGCATTATTAGCCGTAATAGTCACTGTTTACAAACCCACAGAGCTCAAATGAAATAATTTTTTTCAGGAGCATATATATATATATATATATATATATATATATATATATATATATATATATATATATATATATATATATACTCTGAACAAAACTAACTTATATTAAAAATGAAAATGGAAAGCATAGAAAAACAGAAGTAGAAAAATAATTTGGTATACGCCCCCATACAAGCAAATGATAAAGAACAAATTAGGACAAAAATGCCTCGCATTAATGGTCAAGCATTTCCCTAATGAAAGTAAACTAAGTAATATTTTCAATAAATATACACTAAAATTGAGTTACAGCTGTACGGAAAACTTAGAAAAAATTATTAAGAAACATATTGCTAATATCTTAAATAAACACTTATACCAAAACCAAAAATTTTAGACAATGGAAAAATAAAAATAAAAACTGATAAGTATAAATAAAAATTATGTAACTGTAGAAACCCTCATAATTGCCCTCTACAAAATAAATGTCGCGCGGAATCATTAGTATACCAATGCAATATCTCTTCGATTGAAAATCCTGAAAACATAAATATATATATATAGGTTGCACTAGCCATGAGTTCAAAAAAAGATTCAACCAACATCAAAGTTCATTTAGGATAAATAAATATAAAAATTAAACATCTCCCTCAAAGTACTTCTGGCACCTAAAAGAATCAAATAAAACACCTACAGTAAAATGGAAGTTAATAAGAAAAGCTAGAATATGTAGCTCATTAAATGACCCATGTCCTTTGTGCATACATGAGAAACTATATATTTCTAAGTTTATAAAAAATAAAAAAATACTGAATCAGAGAAATGAAATAGCTATTTCATGCAGTCAATGTCAAAAATTTTCATTAAATAATATTTAAAATTAAAATTAACAGTGAAAATATTTTAAAGTTGTATTTAAAATTGTAGTTAAAACGAATTCTAACCTAAACATCTTTTAAAATTGTAGTTAAATAAAACGTATTCTAACTTAAACACCCCTCTCAAAGTACTAAAGGCACTTAAAAGAATCCAATAAAATACCTACAGTAAAATGAAATTAATATGAAAAGCTATAAGATGTAGGCCATTAAATGACCCATGTCCTTTGTACTTACATGAGAAACTATATATTTCTAAGTTTATAAAAAATAAAAGTTTACTAAATCAGTGAAATGAATTAGCTATTTTTGTCGTCATTGTCATAAATTTTACTTAAATAATATTTAAATATAAATTTTAAAAAATTGTGAACTGGTAATATACATACTTATACTTGATGTGAAAATAATTTTACCGACTGTAAGTAATTCTAATACATTTACTTGTTTTAAAAAGAAATATAATATATTAAAAATTAAAAGTGAAAATATTGTTTAAAATCGTAGTTAAATAAAACGTATTCTAACCTAAACACCCCCCAAAAATCTTTAAGTATACAAATAGAAAATTATTTTTTTTTTTAAATCCAGACGACATGCATTTAACGGATGTCAGATTTCATTGAAAAATACATCCCTACCCCTACCTAAAACCCTTCTTAAAAACGTAACTAATAACTGATACATCAAAATACAGTGATAATGAACATGCAACCACCCCTTGTCTGGATGAATGGATTTCTCTGTATCCTTTGAAACGTAAATTATGAATTTGTGCAGTGCCTTTAAAACCCAGTAATTTTAAAAATAAGTTACTCCAAAATTCACTTAAGGATGAAATGGAACTAATGTCTTTAATTTAATTACAAAATTAAATTCGAAGCTTTTAGCTACCATTTTTGAAACATGGTTAGAACTGTGTAGCGAAAAACATTTTAAATCAGTTAATTTATAATATTAATGCTCTGTAAATTTACATTGAGCACTATTTTGTAAAAATAAAAATATCTATAAGAACACCGGATTATATATGTTACTGTTCTTTCTTTCTTTATATATATATATATATATATATATATATATATATATATATATATATATATGTATGTATAAATCAAGGACTTGTAGCCACAGAAATAAAACATAGATTGATGTGAACAAAATAAACGTCATATTTTTTTTTATACCTTTAGGATACTTTCGACCAACCCTTTTTCAAAATGTATTCGTTGGCGATAAACAAACATAATTAAGACGCATTAATAACCTCCAAGTAATCACAGGATGGTTTTCGACTGTGAAGAATTATTAAAGACTTGTTTTAGTGTCTAATGCAGTGTAGACGCAGGATGTTTCGACTTTTGGTGTGTAGCAGTCACTTCTAAATTTGCATGATGGTCACTCGTTTGTTGTTCTTACAAGGAGCCAGGTAAATTTTGACCTTCAGTCAACCGTAATAAACGTATAAACTTCTCTTTTTGTTTGCAACCGTAATAAACGTATAAAATTCTCTTTTTGTGTTGGCTGGTAGAATTTGATATAAATACCTCGAAGACTCTAAAATGTTATACCGAATGAGCACTATGTATAACGGAAAGTCTTTTGCTTTGTGCTTGTTGAGTTAAGTTTGAATAAGTTTACGGTAAATGACGCCGTGTTGTTATGTAGACTAGATTACATTTGTTAATCGTGTACATTTCTGGTTATGCTGTCTTCAACGTTTAAAGTGTGTGGTAGTGAGTTACTTGAGACGTGTTCTGCTTAACAATGGCAGGATACTCATACCATGAGTAGGCAGATATGATTTTTCATACGGCCATATGGATATTAATGAACGCGAGACTGCGCGGTTGTATTATCAATAAAACTGAAATAATAAACAATCTATTTCAATTCAAAACATACAGCCAAGATGATGGTTGAAGATAACCGAAAGCGCGCGACAAGACAATTTGAACTTGGGTCTTATTTCAACGACTTAGACCAAATATTAAAAAAAAACTCGACAGAAAGCAAAAAAAAAAAAAAAAACTGAAAAAATTTTATTAAAGTTCCGTAGTCTTTAACAGCACATGTTTTAACAATATATATATATATATATATATATATATATATATATATATATATATATATATATATATATATATGCACCAGGTCTCTGTATTCATCCCTTCAAAAAGTGTTGATGTTCATGCGCGAAACCTTCACCACTATAATCAAATCTCATGTGCTGTTGTCTGTCGGTTTCCTAGGAACTGATCTGCTTGACCCTCATACGTCGAATTCGACGGGAGAGTCAGTATATATATATATATATATATATATATATATATATATATATATATATATATATATATATATATATATATATATATATATATAACTTAAAGAGCCAGGTAAACTTTTCTAGGTTTCACCTACGCCGTAGGTGAAACGTAGGTAGGTTTGCCTGGCTCTTTAAGTTCATAGTTAGTTTTGCTCTACTTAATGTATTGAGCACTTTGATTAGTTATTTTTACTTTACTCGTATCAGAGGTCATTTTCTTTGGCTTCTGAGCCTGGATTCTGGGCGTTTGTATTCGCCTGAATTACATGTTCTTAGTTCTTTCTTTTTTTATTCCTTATTTTTCCTTGGGTATTGGTTTGTTCATTTACAAGCCAAAACACCCAAGTTTGTTTTTTTCGGACGAGTATACTTACATATATTTATAAGATTATATATATATATATATATATATATATATATATATATATATATATATATATATATATATTAAATAGATATATAAAATAGGCTGCCAATTCTCTCAGGCGCGAGCTAAGCAAGTTCTTAAAAGTTTAGATAAATCGAGAATCCTTTCCATAGATGTATTTGAATTTCATTGTTGCTAAAACATCAGCATATGTATGACAATATTCCGTGTGGGTGACGATTGCTTCTCTTGAGACTAAACATTTTAATTTTTCACTTTAGTTGTACTGGAAAAAGTGTTCAAAATAAAATTTAGCTGAATTTTAATTTAAAGCAATAAATAAGATTTGAAAAAACCGTGAAAATTTGATAGGTTTCCTATTTTAATATTCTGATGAATTTTAATTCTTAAGTGAATGATTGAATAAACTCATTGCGAGTTCTACGACAATAAAATATCCGTAGAGATTCACTTACGACATCGTTAAATATTTGATCTTAACAACTTTAGCAAAAATATGAATAAATATGAATGCAGGTCGTCATTTTAAGAAGTGGGTACAAATGAAAAGATTTCCATTTGAGGTTATTTTCCATTTCATTGAAACAGAAAACATTAAACATATTCTTTGTTTGTTTGTTTGTTTCTTTCTTTCTTTCAGTCATTCGTTCCTTTTAACGCGGTCAAAACGGAATAGTCCATTATTTATCAGATATTGGCAAGACGTTACGGTCGTGCGAACTAAAGAAATAACTAACGAAAGGAGGAAAAAGCAGAATTACAATATATATGATTAGGTAAATAAAGCAACATTAACGTAAAATTAACGATGACATTGTTCATAAAGTCAATAAACCTAATTCTATTTTATTTTCTTCTTTTTATCTAGTAAATAATGTTTAACGTCATTCTCACATTTATAAGCTTGCACACATACTAATGCAAAATTCCACTTTATTTTTTAAAATCTTTCTTTAAGCGTCGAACGTCAATGCTTTTTTTTTTTTATTGAAAGCTGAGAAATCTCACAAAGTTTTCCTCAGTGAATTCCAACAAGCGCCATCTCATTTCAAAGTATGGGAAGCAAAGAAGCACGTAATAAGATAGAAAGAGAAATAGAAAAACATATCACAGATGCGTAGGAAAATTTCACCTTTCACCTTTAATCCTAATAAAATCTTCACGCTGAAGGGCCAGTTAGAGAACAGAGATACAAAAAGAAGGGAGAAAAATAAAGCCGTATGTTCTTTTGTACATCCATGTCAAAGGAACCACAGTTGTAATGGCGGACATAAGCTCAGTTTCATTTTGCGCATGCGCGCGTCGATGCTCAAAAGCATTGTAACGTAATGGCGAGTGTGCCGCTTACATTATGGACAGCCGCAACGGTCATGAACTTTGCCGCCGCTCGACTGAGAAGGAATTGTCTAAGGGAACGGTCAGGCTGTACATTCAAATGCAGAAGGTCAGAAAGCGGGCGAGACTTAGGTTTGGAGGCATGATGTGGAGATGGCGAAGTGAAAAGTATTTTGTGTGCCAGACCCTCGACTAATGGTTGCAGATGAGATTCATATTTTTGATCTTGCTTAGTAGGTGATTGAGCGAAAAGAAAATGGACAAAGGAAGGAAGGATTCGAGAAAACACAAAGAAATAAAGAATAAAAAAAAAAGCTTAAAAATGAAGAGAAAAAATAAATTATTGCAAAATGCTTTTTATAGACAGATATATGGACGGATAAAAATGTGAGAAAGAAAGAAAGAAAAAATGAAATAAGAACGATATAAAAATGTGGTCAAAGAAAGCAAGAACGTTTGGCGCGAAATATAAGAAAATAAAAAGGGAAAAAAGAAAGAAATGGAGAAAAGAAAGAAATGAAGGAAATAAAGTAATAAAGAAGAAAGAAATGAAGAAAGGAAATAAAAAAGAAAGAAATAAAGGAAGTAAATAAGGAAGAAATGAATGAAGAAAGGAAATGAGGAAGAAAGAAATGAAGGAAGGAAGAAAATGATGACGAAAAAATGAAAGATGAAATAAGGAAGGAAGAAATGAAAGATGGATGGAAAAATCTGAGGAAACAAAAATAAAAATAAGAAAATTCAAAATGTAAAGAAGAAAAAACATACTATTGCAAAGAGCTGCATTGATAGATATTAACAGAATGAAATAGATAGATAGATAGATAGATAGATAGATAGATAGATAGATAATGAACAGACTGAGATAGATAGATAGATAGATAGATAGATAGATAGATAGATAATGAACAGGCTGAAATAGATAGATAGATAGATAGATAATGAACAGGCTGAAAAATAGATAGATAGATAGATAGATAGATAGATAGATAGATAGATAATAAAACAGACTGAGATAGATAGATAGATAGATAGATAGATAGATAGATAGATAGATAGATAGATAGATGAAGGCTGAAATAAATAGATAGATAGATAGATAGATAATGAACAGGCTGAAATAGATAGATAGATAGATAGATAGATAGATAGATAGATAGATAGATAGATAATGAACAGGCTGAAATAGATAGATAGATAGATAGATAATGAACAGGCTGAAATAGATAGATAGATAGATAGATAGATAGATAGATAATGAACAGACTGAGATAGATAGATAGATAGATAGATAGATAGATAGATAGATAGATAGATAGATAGATAATGAACAGGCTGAAATAGATAGATAGATAGATAGATAATGAACAGGCTGAAATAGATAGATAGATAGATAGATAATGAACAGGCTGAAATAGATAGATAGATAGATAGATAGATAGATAGATAGATAGATAGATAGATAGATAGATAGATAGATAATGAACAGACTGAGATAGATAGATAGATAGATAGATAATGAACAGACTGAGATAGATAGATAGATAGATAGATAGATAGATAGATAATGAACAGACTGAGATAGATAGATAGATGGATAGATAGATAGATAGATAGATAGATAATGAACAGGCTGAAATAGATAGATAGATAGATAGATAATGAACAGGCTGAAATAGATAGATGGATGGATAGATAGATGGATGGATGGATAGATAGATAGATGGATAGATAATGAACAGACTGAGATAGATAGATAGATAGATATAGATAGATAGATAGATAGATAGATAGATAAATAATGAACAGACTGAGATAGATAGATAGATGGATAGATAGATAGATAGATAGATAGATAGATAGATAGATAGATAGATAGATGAACAATGAACAGGATAGAAATAGATAGATAGATAGATAGATAATGAACAGACTGGGATAGATAGATACATACTGGGATAGATAGATAGATAGATAGATAGATAGATAGATAGATAATAATGAACAGACTGAAATAGATAGATAGATAGATAGATAATGAACAGACTGAAATAGATAGATAGATAGATAGATAGATAGATAGATAGATAATGAACAGACTGAGATAGATAGATAGATAGATAGATAGATAGATAGATAGATAGATAGATAGATAATGAACAGACTTAGATAGATAGATAGATAGATAATGAATAGACTGAGATAGATAGATAGAAAGATAATGAACAGACTGAGATAGATAGATAGATAGATAGATAGATAGATAGATAGATAGATAGATAGATAGATATTAAAAGACGAATCAGTCAGTTACGTGCCATGGGTGATACACGCTTAGGCGATCATGTATCGTTCGATACATGACTGATGAGGCAGATTTTTCCCGCCGTAGGTTGCTATTTCTTTCTGCAGTAAACCAGTTGCCATCCAAGTCTATAGAACCCCAGTCTGTTCTGCTATTTATCCATAGGGAGTGAAGAAGAGGGTTGATACCTTTCTCAAGGGTTTAGCACGTAAATGAATGTAATGGATTCGACTGGAATTCGAACTCAGCTCTCTCTCTCTCTCTCTCTCTCTCTCTTTCTCTCTCTCTCTCTCTCCTTCTGCTCTCTGTCTGTCTCACTTATATATATATATATAGAGAGAGAGAGGGGGGGAGAAAGAGTGGGGGAGGGAGATAATAAAAAGTTGCCAAAGAAAGAAAAATGATCAAGAACGATCAAAATATAAGGTAATGAAAGAAATCAAGAAAAAAGAAAAGTTAACACGGAAGATAAGAAAATAAAAAAGGGATAAAGGAAAAAGAAAGAGAAAAAGAAAAACTAAAAGAATGAGAAACAAAGGAATGAAAAAGGAAAGATATTTTTTCTAAATGTTTTATTTATAAAAGAATAAAAGAAAATATTATTAAAAGAAAGTGAAATGAAATGAAAAATAAAACGAAAGGAAAAGAAAGAAAGAAAGAAAGAAAGAAAAAGGGATTCAGTGGATAAAAGCGGTGTCTGAATTGACCCAAAAAGTGATTTGATCCAAAGAGTTGTGAGTTCAATACCTGTCCACCGTAGAGGGAAGAAAAACTTGCAGAGTTGAGTTACTAAAAGTGAATTAACTGGAACTAAGATATCCAAAAAGGCATCTCACGTGGAATTAGAACAATTTATCCCCGTAGAAGCGTTCCGTTCGAAATTCTAACGTATCCTGAAGAAGGTCGGAGAGTACAACGGTCAAAACGTCATGAAAATAGCAAAAAAAATGAAGACAATTGTCCAAATGATGTAAATAGTGTAAATAATTGCAAAACCGCATCTGAGAAATGTAAACAGATGAAAAGGAAGAGATTGCTGCCTCACTGAGGTCACTGTCTTGTTCTCTCCTGTAATCGAGTCTGAAATAAAAAAAAAAATTAAGGAGTTAGGTAGATCTTTCCCATTTGAAAAATATGCACATTAAACTCTTTCCACTTCGGTTTTAGCCCCTATTTGGCCTTGTGCTTCATTCTCTATCAGTGTTCCACACGTACGCTTGTGATCGATTGAGGAGACATGTAGTTGGTTCTATTGTGCCAGTCATAGTTCATTCGTTTAGAGGTGTGTCCGGTAGATAATACCATTAATGAAGGGATTCCGTTCTTCGCTGAATAATAGTAAAAGCTAACCTGGCCGCCGGTCTCGGAAAGCACTTTCAATCTGTGGTTGAGTGGGGCAGGAAATGCCTTGTAAACTTGAATGCCTCCAAAACGAAACTGCCCTCAGTTAACCAACTATAGATAACACTCCCTGCATCTTGCATGGCTGATGATCAACCCTACGAAAACGTCTCTCTATGCCTTCTTGGTCTCACGTTTTCTACGGAGCTGAGGCGGACACAACTACATTAAATCAATGGCTTCTTCTACCGCAAGGAAAGTTGGTTTTCTGTGTCGCGCCAGAAGGTTTTTCTTGCCTGAATCCATCCATCAATTCTACAAATCTACCATTCGTCCTTGCATTGAACATTGTTGCCATATACGGTCTGATGTCCCCGCTGTTCATCTCGACAAAATACAGAGAAGGATATGCAATGAGATAGGTCCTGATCTGGCATCTTGTCTAAGGTCACTTTCTCATAGACATGGCTTCCCTCTGTCTTTTCTACAAATATTTTCATGGCAACTGTTCTCACGAACAACTTTCACTGGTGCCCAATCTGCAGGAATTTAAACATGTTGGCATCTCGGTCCAACCGTTTTGCTGTCGAAATAGTTAAATGGAACCGCCTCTTCTACTCCAATAGCTTCTTCTCTCGAACTTCCGGTCAGTGGAACGCCCTTCTAACCTACTTGCTTCCCGGATGGCTATAATCTTCAAATATTCAAATGTAATGTCAATCGACATCTTCTGATGCCTTGATCCTGATCCCCATCATTTATTTTTATATCTTTTCCTCAAACACCCCTCTTTACTCTTGCTCTCAATCTCTGTAATTCCTAGCGTTCTAGTGGCACATCTGCCTTGCTTGGGGTGAAATGCTTATTAAAAAAAGAAAGAGACAACAAGAAGATAGAATACAATCGGAAATAAGCATTTATTATTCAAAAGAAATATTTGTCTGGCTGCTTGTTTCAGAGTATGGATATCTGCTGAGGTGGCTGGCAGACACCTGCTCAGGCGCCTTTCTGTGTGTTAAACACCGATAGAGCTAATCCTGTGCTTCGTAGAGTAACTCTGCTGAGCGAACCTTTGTTACAGTTTCTAGGGAAAAAACACCGCATAATCTGGTGCGATCAACAATTTGGTTATGGCCAATACGTTGAAACTCTCAGTCAAGATGACTTCCGAATTCGTGCCGGCACAACTATCGACTGATTTCGAATAGTTTCAGAAACACAATTTCCTTCAAGCTCTGGTGTCATGTTCAGCTTCTCCCCACGGTACACCATCTTGGAATCGTCTCGAAAAGTTACCCCTCCCTGACAAGTTGAGCACGATGAGAATCCAACCCGTCTCTCATGATATTTAACCATCGACAGCTTTCGAACAGTTTTGGAAAAACAATTTCCTTCAACCTTTCCCTTGATTTCAGCTTCTTCCCAAAAGCACTACACACTGTAATCGTCCCGAAATGTCACCTCATTGACAACTCGACCAGGGTGAGATAAGAACTTATCTCTCATGAACGCTAACCGCTCGGCCATGCGTCCGCTAAAATCAACAGCAACTTTTTACATAAAAACTAATTTTTATACTGTTGTTTCTCCAATACAAAGCTCAAGAGCCACTTAAAGTAGAGGGTTAGTGTATGAGGTTGCCATAAGGGCCTACATAGAAGTGACAAGGGAAGCATATTATGAGGATATGTAGGACAGATGACGGTAGTGTAGACTTTAAGTGGTTAAGATTATATTGACCGGGTAAGCATCCGTTCATATGTTTAATACAAAATGCAAAAGTTCTGAAGAAGAAGCTGTTTGAATGGAACTTCCTCCTTACCAATGGAATACAAACGGAATGAAATGAGTAGACTCTAAGTATATGGCATACTTTTTTGAAAATAATTAATTTAGCATTCTGCACCAGAAAATCATATTAAATATATATCAACACTTAACAGATATGGGCCCGATTTGAACTGAAGCCACTGACACACATGAGTCCGGTTCTTCACAGCTACCCACTCAGAAACTACTACTTTTAGGAGTAGGGTATCTTTCTCACCCATCAGCCGGCGTATTCTTCGCTGCACGTTAAGTTTAATTTATTATATCTATTGCTCGCATCTATTGATTTCGGGATCATCGACTCAATTTGAACTCCATAACAATTTAGAATGCTGCATAGAAGCTGGCAGGGCTACATATGGTTTTGAATTCGGAGTTTTCCTTCTCCTAGAGTGGTTGTCATCCCTGGAATTTAAGGCGGAATAAATGGATTCATGCCCTTCCCAAGAGTATCAGACAGGAAGTGAATACAACGACCTCAACCGGATATCTTACTTTATTTTACTTTCCAAACCGCTATTCCCTACATCACTAGCACGTCCAATGATAATCGAACTCCCTTCCCTTTTCCTGTTCCCCTGATAGCTATAATCTCCAACTATTTAAATGTAATGTCAATCGACGTTTCCAGATGCCTTGATCTATCCCCTATCTTTCTCTTCATCCTTTACTCGGTCACTCCTCTTTGCTCTCGCTCCAACTCTCTGTAACCCCTTGCGTGCTAGTGGCTTCCCGCTTTGCTTGGGGTGAAACACTTAAAAAAAATAGCAAGTCCATTTGTATTGTTGATTGATCGGATCACTTTCTACGGCTTATCAACAAGTTATTTAAAGCCACCAAATATTTTTAGATCGTAAGATTTTTTCGATAATAATGGTTTAGTGATACGAATCTTACTAATTAACCCATAGCTAGGGGAGAACAAGTGGATTCAGAACTTTTCCAAGGGTATTTGAGCATAAGTAAATATAACGAACCCAACCGGAAGTGGAACTCTTCTATACAATTTCCGATTCCAAGCCATTATCCATTACACCAACTGCACGTCCAAGTTTAAAGTACCTGGAATTGCCATGTTGTCACCCATCTAGGCACTGACTAGACTCGACTTTGCTTCACTTCATTGATCTACAGGAACCAGTGTTTCAACTTGATGTAATCTTTGTATTGTTGAATAATTCTTGAATAGACTGCCTTAATACTTCTCTTTCACCCTAGATTCAAGTTTAGTAGTATGGAAAGATGTGAGGAGACGGACAACGCTAAGTAAGTTGGGTATTAGAAAAAAAATCACGCGTTACAAGCCGCGTGTACACTTTAGAAGTAAGAAAAAGTTAAGCAAAATAAAAATTTAAAAAAACGAAGAAAAACTAAATGATCGAAAAGGGGGGGATCTATTCAGACATGAAAAGTAAAGAAATCGAAAATACCCGAAACATTATTTCTGTTCCCGCTAAGAAGATATCTCACTGTGGCTTATTCCCCCTTTTCGCTGTTGTAAAACCAGTCTTCCTGTCTCTGAAACAGCTGCCGTTTTATGGTCGATGACACAAACCAGGAATTCTGCCACACAGAAATGGGTTTGCGCCTGAAATATTTTCTTTTTTGCCAAACTTCATTGTATGCAACATTTTAAATTTCTTATTATGACAGAAAGCATTGTCAACTATTTTCAGATCATTTTTCTTTAACTTTTTAGTTTTTTTTTTTTTTTTTTTTTTTACCAAATTCGATCTTCTGCAAAAGTAGCTGAAGCAGTAAAAACCAAAAACCGTCCAGCTAAGACAGACTCCTCGAGGGAAAAGGAATGCAAGTTCGAAACGCACCTATAAATGAGTATCTATTCCCGATGAGAGCAGTTGACTCTCGAGCGTTGAATGGTGATCTGTGTCGTTGCAATGAAAAACATGTGAAATTAAGATGAAAGAAATGCGAATACAAAGTGGTTCATTTGTTAATTATTCCAGACAATACTACAGTAGAATCCCGCATATCGGTAATGCCTCATAATCGGAATCCCTCATATCCGGAATCTCTCACATCCGGAGTACCTCTTATCCAGAATCCCGCATATCCGGACATGATTTTGATGCGTATATTTTAATTATTTGGGTGATATATAACTAATTTGAATTTTTTTTTCAGGAAATTTACTTTCAATAATTGCTTATGCTTATTTGACCCTAATGGCTTGTGTTGGTGCAAAAGATGATGGGAATAAGAGGAAAAGAACAATTTTGGAGTTATCGCAAAAAGTGGAAAATTTAAACAGACTAGACGCTGGTGAAAGGTCATTGTAACTAATGGATGCGTTCAAAATGAGTCAATATTGTATGATATAAAACCTTCGAAAGAAGCAATACTCCAGCGTTAAAACTGTCACAATGAACAAGGAAATTAAAAACATGAGTGTGATGAAACCTGGACTGAAAGTGAAAAAGCTATTAAAAACGTTGTCAGTTTTATGGAAAGAAAGCCGGCATTCAGCTATGACGATTGCAATAAAGCACGCAGAGTTAAAAAATGTCTTTCATTTAAAAAAAAAAAAAAATCAGGAACAAAAGCAAAGCGAAATGCGAAAAAAAGTTGAGGATGACATTAGAAGAGAAAGAATCATCGATTAAAAAATCCTCGTTATATGATTTGTTTTGCATACATGGCATACTTAATTTAATGAATTTTCATTAAGATTACATATTTTCTTTTTCCTTAAAATCAATTCTGTTATATTTCACTCACCATTAGCTTATTTTGTTTACTATAAAACATAGAAAATAAATGCTAAACTTTATTTCAGTTCCATTATTGTAATCTAAACATAACCCTTCATATCGGGACTTTGTAACCAATTCTTCATATCCGGAAGTCCTTCTTAGGCGGTTGTCAGGGATTCTACTGTGTTACCAATAGCTAGATAATGAAGGCCTGAATCATTAAGATGAAAAGCTTCTGGAATTAAGAGAAAAAGATACAAATAAACATTGATAGCTGTTGATAATACTTCATTGAATAAAGATTCGAGGTAATATTACAAATAATTACCTAAAGAATGAAAGTCTTTGTAAGCT